ATAAAATATTTAGAAGAACCAGGGAGAGGGAAGATGAAAAGAGAAAGAAAGTAGTAAAGAATGATCAAAAGGGGAAATGAGAGACAGAAGAAAAGAATGAAAAACAGACAGAGCTAGAAAGGATGAAATACAAGGGAATGGAAAAGAAGAAAGAAGAGAAAGAATAAATTAAAACAATGAAACAACAAAAGGAAAAAAACCAAACCCAAAAGCAAAACCAGAAAAACAGTATAGCTGTTTGACCCGGAGAAGAGAAAAAATTCTGGGGGCCTTCTGCAAGCCAAGGAGTTCACGAGGTGTGTGTGAGAAGTATGTGACTGCAGAGTTCCTGGCCCGAGATGGAATTCCTTTCAGCTTGGTGTTCAGTCCAGAAGTAGTTCGTGGAGGCCCTTGCTGGAGGTGGTTTCAGTGTCTGTTAGGACTGCAGGGCAGCTGGGGGTGGAGTGACTAGTTAAATGCTACCCCTCTGTTAATTGTCCTGATGTGGTGCTGTGGGATTAGGGTGTTAATAGGTTATAATCAGGATTAAAAATGTTCAGAGCACAGTTCTTCCAGTCAGGACAGCCTCTTCTCAGCTGTGCCCACAGGCAGGCCTCTCTCTCTACCAAGGCAATATTAAAAATTCTCTAAGGGGTGCTGATAAATGCCCACGGACACACAACCCACCATAATCCTCATCCTGAAGGTGCTCAGCTCTAGTTCCTTGGGTGAACAAATCTCGTTTCCCCAATTAAGTGCCTGGAGGTACCCTACCATGCAAGTAAGTCTTCTGCCCGAAGCCACTGAGCTTTACTTGCTCCGTGGGTTGGACTTTTCTTCTCTGTCTTGTTCTCTGGCTCTTAGTTCTGCTGCTGCTGCTCTTCTACCACTCCACTGGTGTCACAGCTTTCTGTTCCTGGGTCAAGAAGGTTCAGTGTGCAGAGATCTTGGGCTTCAAAGAATGTGCTCTACTCCAGACTTCTTCTTTGATGGTAGTGAGGGAAATTCCCCCTCTTGCTTCTGTGATGACTCTTTTTTTTAAAAAAACATTTTATTGTGAATTATGTGATAGTTTACATGGAAGAACATTAGTTTACATTCATCCTGTCGTATATCGATCGTTTCACTGCCATGGTTACAATCCTCTCCATGCATCATCACCCAACCAAAGGGTATACACTACAAGCCTGCGCCCCCACCCCCCTGATCGTCACTACACAGCCCCCCTCTCTCTCTGTGTCTAAAGTCCCCAGCTGCTCCATCTCTCCACGTGATGACTCATTTTAAACCCAAGGTAGAGTTCTAAGGGTTTACAATCAAATCATATCATCTTTCTTACCTTTTCTTACCCAGACCCATCAGGAAAATCTTTGGTGGGAGTTTCAAGGATGGTGTGTAGAGGAACCATCTGAAGTAATCTACTGCACTGTAAAAAACTTTTTTCATTTTTTTAGGATAGTCTGCCTGAATACCAATCCTAGATTCCCTGCTGTGATTTTGGGCAGGTTACTCAACATCTCAATGCCCGTTTTCTCATCTGTAAAATGGAAATTGTAGTACCTACTTCATAGAGTTGAGAATTAAATTACGTAAATACATGTAAAACTCTCACAAGTGTTTTGTGCAGACTGTGTGCACAAAAGTGATTAACCTCCTCTGACAGCAACACCACTACCACAATCATTATAGGAGCTCCTACCTCTTACTGAAGGGAGCTCTGGTAGCATAGTGGTTACGAATTGGTCTGCGAACCACAAGGTCAGCATTTCAAAACTACCAGCTGTTCCATGGGAGAAGGATAAGGCTTTCTGCTCCCATAAAGATTTATAGCCTTGGAAATCCTGTACAGGGTCGATATGAGTCGGAACCAACTCCATGGCACATAACAACAACAACACCTCTTACTGATAGGAGTTGTGGTGTGGTGCTGTGGGATAAAACACTAGACTGCAAGGTCAGTTTGAACCACAAGATTGGAGGTTCAAACTCACTCGCCGTTCCTTGAAAAACCTATGTAGGGTTGCTGAGTCTGAATGGACTCAACAGCACTTAACAAAAACAACCTCTTACGGGGCACTGGTGTAGTACTATAGGATAAACACCTAACTGCTAGCCACAAGGTTGGCAGTGCAAATCCACCAACTGCTCCTGGAAACCCTATACAGGTTCACTTTCAGTCAGAACCAACTTGATGGCACACAGTAAGAAGTTCCTTACTACTTTATAATTTGGGAGAATTTTTTTTTTTTTTTTTTTTTTAACCATGCTTGCATTTTTATCTACTTCTAAACATAGTGCTGTAGGATAAACACTGGATGACTAACCACAAGGTTGGCAGTTCAAACTCACCGTAACTCCTTGGAAACCATGTGTGGGGTTGATGGCGCTTACAACAAACAACAACAAAACTACCTAGAACAATGACGACAGAATTGACTGGAATGTTGCTTTTGGCTCTCTGAATGGCACCATGGTGTGGCCGGTAAGAACATGTGCCTTACAAAAGATGGCAAAAAGGGAACCAAGAAGAAAATGTTTGATCCATTTTCTAAGAAAGATTGGTATGATGTGAAGACACCAGCCTTGTTCAGTGGAAGAAATACTGGTAAAACACTAGTCACAAGGACTCAAAGGAACCAAAATTGCATCTAGTGGCCTGAAGGGTCATGATTTGAAGTGAGCCTTGTTGATCTGCAGAATGATGAAGTGGTGGTGGTGGCTGTAGCACTTAGAAAATTCAGAAACTGCCTGACCAACTTCCATGGCATGGATCTTACCCGTGACAAAATGTGCTCCATGGTCAAAAAATGGCAGACCATGATTGAAGCTCACGTTGATGTCCAGGTTTGTTACGTTCCATGGAGTTGGTTCTGACTGATAACAACCCTGTATAGGGTTTCCAAGGAGCTGCTAGTGATTTTGAACCACCGACCTTGTGGTTAGCAGCCCATGTTTATCTTACAGTATCACACTTACTGATGGTTATTTGCTTCATCTGTTCTGTGTTGGTTTTACTCAAAAAATGCAGCAGCCAGATTTGGAAGACATGCTCAGCACAAACAGCTCTGCCAAATCTGGAAGAAAATAATGGAAATCATGACCTGAGAGGTGCAACCAAATGACTTCATAACTGGTCAATAAATTGATTCCAAACAGCATTGGGAAGGACATAGAAAAGGCTTGCTAATCTGTTTACCCTCTTCATGAGGGTTAATGCTGAAGAAACCCAAGATTAAGACGGGAAAACTCATGGAGCTTCATGGTGAAGGTAGCAGTTCTGGAAAAGCTACTGGATATGAGACAAATTGAACAAGCCCATGGCTGTGAGCCACCAGTCCAAGACTTTGTTCAAAATTCAGACTTTTATTGGTGACAAAAGATACTTTCTGGGGGAATAAATAGTTTATGATGCAACCATGTTTTTAACCAGCGTCATTTCATTTAAGAGCTGAGTTTTTTCGATGCTGCTTTTTCTCTGCACTAAAAATATATAGTATATAGCAAAACATTTTACAGTTGAGGAAAATATGTACATTTTGGAAAAATTAAGAATTTTTAAAGTTGGTAAATTATTTTAGATATAGTATTGTGTCCATTTTGATTTTCACTGTTCTTCCAACTTTCTGAATCTGTTGTATTTCGAGCAGTCTTGGGCACTAATAGGAGACTTTTTCATGCAGGAAATATTTTTAAAATATGAGGCTTTATTACTCATAATTTATCACCTAAATTGTAGAAGTGTTTATATCAAATGATGTTAGTCTGGGCTGCTAAATATATGTTCCAAGAAATTCTTGGCTGTTACTACTGACCATTCTGATCAGGATTTTAAAAGGTCCTGGACAGAGGGAGGGAAAAAAAAAAAAAAAAAAGAACAAAATTTAAAATCATACAAAAAGACCAGATTTACTGTTCTAGTAGAGACTATTGAAACCCCTGAGACTGTGCCTCCTTAAATACTCTGAAATCTTGACACTGAACCCCCACCCTTGGGGAATCAACTTTCAGCCAATGTTGTTAAGTGTCATCATAGTGACCCTGTATAGTGTTTCCAAGGAGCAGCTGGTGGGTTTGAACAGCTGACTTTGCAGCTAACAGTATAGTGCTTATCCCATATTGACATACCAAGAATCCATCCAAACAGTATACAGGCCTATAAAGTGAATAATAAGACCAAGGAGGAATGTAATCTTTAGTAGGGACAACCATAGTTGCTCAAAAGGGCAGCATATGTCTAAAACCAAAGCTCAGAAGCCAGGAAGGGGCAGGAAATAAGGATGAGTGAAAAATGGGAACCCTGGGAGGAAAGGAGGGATCCTGCTGTTACACTAAGGGGATTTCAACCAATGTCATGAAATACAATGTATATAAATTATGGAATGGAACTCTAATTTGCTGTATTAACTTTCACCTAAACTACAGTAAGAAGTAAATTTTAAGAGAAAAAAAAAATTCTTGGCTATAACCTGGATACTTGTTGTCAGGTGCCATCGAGTCGGAACCGACTCATAGCGACCCTATGCACAGCAGAACGAAACAATGTTCGATCCTGGGCCAACCTCACTACCGCTGCCACACCTGAGTCCATCAATGATGCCACCTGGCTGATCCATCTCGTTGGGGGTCTTCCTCTTTTTCTCTGACCCTCCATCCTACCCAGCATGACATCCTTCTCCAGCGATTGTTTCCTCCGGACAATATGTCCAAAGTAAGAGAGACGAAGTTTAGCCATCCTGGCCTCCAAGGAGCACTCTGGCTGCACTTCTTCCAAAACAGATTTATTGGTTCTTTTGGCAGTCCATGGCACTTTCAGTATTCTCCTCCAACACCACAACTCAAAGGCATCAATTCTTCTACGATCCTCCTTATTCACTGTCCAGCTTTCGCATCCATATGAGGCTATTGAAAACACAATGGCCTGGGTCAGGCGCACCCTAGTCCTCAAGCTGACATCTGGATACTAAAAAACAAAAAGTCTTTTATTGCAATATTTTAAGCATTTATTATTTTTCCTTCCCTAGGACAAGGTGGAAAGCTGATTGATAGAGGAGATAATACTTATGGAGGAAAGTGGGTCATAAATCCTAGTGGTGGATTGATTTCAAAAGGACACCCACTGGGCGCTACAGGTAAAAATGTCATACATTTTTTTTGTTACCATTTTTAGTGTAAGTGTAACTGATTTAGTCATTTATGTGAATGAAAGATTGGTCTCTGAACTTGGTAGCTAGTATTTTAAAAGTTTGCTTGGTTATAGTACTTTTTGTGTTTCTTTAGATTAATGAAGTATATTTTATCTTGACTGATTAGTGAGAATTTGGATTTCTTAAGACTTTAAATTAAACGGTATGTATTTTTGAGTATTTTCAGATAGGTATACAACTTAAGTAACAAGATACTGGCAAATAGAAATCTTGTTAAACCTGCTAGATAGTCATCATTTGTAGTGAGCACTTTATTTATATGTAAATGTTTGTGAGGTTGGTATTGTTGGTATTGTTAAGTACTGTGGAGCGGAGTCCGTTCCGTCTCATAGTGACCCTGCACAGGGTGTCCGAGGCTGTATATCTTTACAAGAGCAGAACGCCTCATCTTTCTCTCATGGAACCGCTGGTAGTTTCGAACTGCTGACCTTGAGGTTAGCAGCCCAATTTGTAACCACTACGTCTTACATGGGTATTTTTTTCCTCTTGAGAGACCTGAACTTTGTTGTTGTTAAGTGCTGTTGAGTTGGTTCTGACCCATAGCGACCCTGTATAGGATTTCTGAGGAGCAGCTGGTGAGCTTGAACTACCGACCTTGTGGCTCAAACCAACTTTACAGTCCAGCACATTAACCCACAACACCACACAGACCTGAACTAGAGGTTATGAAATATGAATCTTACAATTCGCTATGCTGCTAACTATGTTACTATTTCTGTTCATTATCAGTTCATTTACTCAGATTATTAGTTTCTATAATTGTAATATTAAGAAATCATACAAGGCAATTTCTAAAACAACTTTTAGCACTAAAATTCTATGACTTATTTTTATGAAGACAGTTGTTTTGAAGGAGCCATGGTGCCTCTGTGGGTTAGGCATTGAGTAGTTCAAACACACCAGCAACTGTGTGAGATAAAGGATCTTTCTGCTTCTGTAAAGATTTACAGTTCCAGAACTCTTTATAGGTTTGTTATGAGTTGGAATTGACTTGAGCAGAAAGCCTTATCTTTCTCCCACGGAACTGCTGGTAGTTTCGAACTGCTGACCTGAGATTAGCAGCCCAATTCGTAACCACTACACGACCAGAGCTCCTTATATATAGTATGGATATAGACATAATGTTGTTACTAAGTGCTGTTGAGTTAGTTCCAACTCATACTGACCCTGTACAGGGTTTCCCAGGATCAGTTGGTGGGTTTGAACCACCAACCTTGTGACTTACAGTCCAGTGCTTATCCTATGGCACTATACCAGGAGTCCATATTATTAATATGGGCTTAATTTTCAGAATATATAAAGAACATAACTCAACAAGGAAAAGACAAATAACCCAATTGAAAAAGGGTCAAGGTACTTCTCCCAAAAAAATATACAAATAGCCAGTAATCCCTTGAAGAGAGAGCCTCAACATCATTAGTCATTAGGAAAAATGCAAATCAAAAATCATAATGAGATACTACTTGTAATCCACTTGAATAGAATATAACAAGTGTTGGCAAGGATGTGGAGAAATTGGAATCTTTGTCCATTGCTTATGTTAATGTAAAATGTTGTAGCTGCTGTAGAAAACAGTTTATGTATATAAAATGGAATATTATTAAACCATAATTTAAAGGAATGAAATTCTAACACATGCTCCAAAATGAATGGACCTTGAAAACAATACTAGGTAAAATAAACCAGACACAAAGGAACAAAAATTTTTATTTCATTTATCTGAAATTAGATCTAGTGTAGGGAGATTCGTAGAAAAATAAAGAAGAGTAGAGATTCCCAGGGGCTGGGGGAATGGAAAAGGAGGCGTTATTGCTTAATGAAGAGCTCCTGTAGCATAGTGGTTACTAGTTGGGCTGCTAACCTCAGGGTCAGCAGTTCGAAACTACCAGCAGTTCCGTGGGAGAAAAATGAGGCTTTCTGCTCCCATGAAGATTTACAGCCTTAGAAACCCTGTGCAGGGTTGCTATGAGTCGGAACCGACTCCATGGCATAACACCAGCACCACCACCACTACCATTGCTTAATGAGTACCAGGTTTCTGTTTAGGGTGATGACCTAGATTGGAAATAGATGGTGGTGATGGTTGCACAACATTGTAAATATGTAACTAATGCGAGTGATTAAAATGTCAAATTATATGTTAAATACGTTTCATCACAATAGAATTAAAAATTTAAAAAATACTGACACATAAAAAGAAACAAATAGTGTTGTAAGTATAGCAATTAATCATGGTTTATTTCTGTTTTCGTTCCAATTACTAAACTGTAATCTAATAAAATAGGCAGACACACAGGTAGTTGCAACATAATATACTACCTTGTTGTTTTCTGTTTATCTTAGCTGATTTTTGGTCTTTTTTTTTTTTTTTCTCTTTATATTGTATCTACCATCTTTATAAAAATTGTGAATTGTTTTCTATTGGAATATCTCAAATTTTTTTAATAGTTGCTCTTGGATTTACAACATACATATTTAATTTGCTACCATCTACCTGCAAATAATATTATATAATTCACATATAATGTAATGCATTTAACAGCATATATTCATTTATCCGTTTCTATCTACCCCTTGTTGTTGCCATACATTTACTACTGAAAATACAAAGCCCATGGGTTATAGTACAGATGTTGAGCGAGAGATCCGTTCCCTACTGTGTCTTAAGTCTTTTAAGTGGAATTTGTAGGTGAGTCAGAACAGGTGTATACAGTTCTTATTTAGCCTTACTTTAGTACATGAAAGGTCTTAAAGCCTTTTCAATGATGTTAAAACTGCTCCTGCAGCAAGTGAAGGTAATTGTGATGGAGAATTTATTGCAAGTAGGGGTAGGTGCAATGATTTCAAATTGAGGTCAAAGTAGCATAAGATTTAGAGGCTAGTAAGTAGGAGCTTTCCTTTAAGTTGCATGTTCATAACTTAGGGACTGCCTTTATTATTTTAAGCAATCTGATCTCTTTCAAAGAAACATAAAAAAAAAGGTGAAAGAGAATGATGTTATTGACAATAGCAGAATAAGGAAGTCCAAAAATCCTTTTATCAATAAAATAGTGAAAATTCTGGCAAAAATGGTTAAAATCAACTTTTTAAAAAAATCCACACATTAACCAAATGTTTACAACAATTCAGGGAGCATTTATTTATTCAAGAAAAATGACTGGATCTTGGCAAGAGCAATGAACTTTTTTTTTTTTTAATGTTTTATTTTGAATTATGTGATAGTTTACATGGGAGAACAATAGTTTTACATTCATCCTATCGGATAGCGTTTCATTGCTATGGTTACAATCCCCTCCATGCATCATCAACCAACCAAAGGGTATACCCTGCAAGCTTGCTCCCTGGTGGTCAGCACACAGCCCCTCTCCCTCTCTGGGTCTAGAGTCCCCAACTAAGAGCAGTGAACTTTGTAGTATTTCAACTTGGTCTAATCCCGCCCATGGTGGTGGTGGTGTGCTGTGGAGTTGTTTCCGACTTACAGTGACTTTGAATAGGGTTTCTGAGGCTGGAAATCTTTATGGGAGCAGAAAGCCTCATCTTTCTCTCCTGGAACTGCTGTGAGTTTTGAACTGCTGCCCTTGAGGTTAGCAGACTGACTTGTAACCACTACACTATCAGAGCTACTCCATAGTAGCCTTGGAAACAAACAGCCTAACAGTCATTGAAGGGGTCAGAATGGAATTGGAGCACTTTTAAAAAACTCTAAGCTTAGATAATTAACTTTGACTGTTGGCGAGTTTTCTGGACAATCCCATTCGAAAGTTTTATCTGTATTTGATGTGATTCAGAGCTCACCCAGCAATCTTTTACCTTGGGACATTTGATGAAAATGGTCACTGACAAGTTTTTAGCAGCTCATTTGCCTGATGTGGTGACAACAATGGGGACATAAATCAGTAAATCTAAAAACTTAAAAAGAAATGATAGAGAATGAGGATCTGAGGCAAGATGGTGGAATAAGCACATACACTAAGTTGACCCTTTACAACAAAAACACTGAAAACTGAGTGTAGCAGGTACAGATGGTGGCACAGAAACTTTACTGAGTATCAGAGGATTGGGCACAGAGGTAGACTGAATGCCAACTGGAAGAGGAAACTGAACAGGAGCAGTGAGAAAGAAGAATAGGTGGACTGTAGGCTGGTGTGGCAAGGTGCAGCCATCTTGAGCTTTTTGGGGCAGCTGTGGCCTGTGGGCACAGGTCACAGCTAGAGGTTGGCAACAAGGGAGTGCAATTCTCCCTTGTTACCATGCCTTCCTGGTAGCTGTGGACATAGCCAGTCCCTGCCCTCAACAACCCAGTGGTCAATGAGTGGCACCCCTCCTCCTGTGCAACCTCTGTTCTGCCTGGGGTTAGGCAACTGGCATAGTATCCGTGTTTATCTTGGTGCATGAACCTGCCCTGAATGATGCTACACAGTGAACAGAGAACTATTTGTGTTCACACTTCTAGTCTCTGCCACCTCCACCAGAAGACAGGTGGTGAATGTCTGAGAATACACCATTATACAGCTCTTGGCTAAATATAAATACAATACCACACTGTCCCTGAGAAAGCAGACAGTTTTAGCTTATACAAAGAAACAAAACAGAGGGCATCAAACAAGCGACCAAAATAGAAAATATAACAACAGAAATGATATCAGAACTACCTGATTAGGAATTTAAAAGAATGCTAATTAGGAAACTTAAATGGATTGTAAGAAAGTGTGAGAACACTACAGATGAAATCAAGGAAAATACAGACAAACCTATAGAAAAATTCAGGAAAGAAACTGAAAAAAAAAAAGTGATAAAAATGGAAAGCATACAGAAGCAACAATTAGAAAGCCAAAAGATTAACACTAAGACTTCAGAAATAGATAATACACTAAAAGGGCAGAGAAATAGAATTGAATCAATGGAAAGCCAAATTACTGAGTGTG